GGGTTCTATAGGCTGAGTAAGCTATGACGAGCAAGTCAATAAGGAGCACCCCTCCATGGTCTCTGCAGCAGCTCCTGCCTCCAGGTTCCTGCACTATTGGAGTCTGGTCCTGACTTCCTTCAGTGATAGATTATGAAATGGAAGTGGAAGTCAAATAAACCCTTTCTTCCCCAACTTGCTTTTGGTCACGGTGTTTCATCATAGTGATAGTTACCCTCACTAGAAACACTGTGGAGGAGAGGGCTTATTTGACTTTCACATCCCAGTCACTCACCATCATGAAGGGAAGTCACAGGCACTCAAGGCCAAACCTAGAGGAGAGAATGAAGTAGAAACAATGGAACAAGGCCGCTTACTGGCTTGTTCCCCTACTTTCTTATACAATCCAGGCCCATCTACTTGGGGTTGTACCACCCAAAGTGGGTTGGGCTGTCCCACATTAACTGTTGTTCCAGAAACAGTCTTCCACAGACTTGCTCACAGCCCAATGTGATGGAAGCGTTTCCTCAGTTATGGTTCCTCTTCCCAGATGACCCTAGCTTGGGAGAAGTCGCCCAGACAGCCTGCTGGAAATATTTGCCAGTGTACTGACTTTTTGAATATCCTCACCTCTACTTAATTCACGGTCTGGTTCTAACAGATTTTGAGTTGTGTTACGAGTCTTATGAATATAACAATCTATCCTCCACAAACAGAGACAATTTATGCTCTTTGTTTCCACATGGACACTTTCTTTTTTTTGACCTTTTCTATTTCCTTCTCTTCACTGATTGCTCCACTACTATGTTACATAGAACTGACAGTGGGTATCCTTAGCACAATTTATTAAGAGTTTTAAATCATTAAATGATGTCGAATGTTGTCTAATGCCATTTCCACATTTCTTCCCTTAATCACAGTGTTAGCCCTTTGTTATATAAATGTGATACACTATGCCACATTCATAAGGAAAAAAATTTGCTTGATCATAGTAAATAACCATTTGGGTGTGTTGCTGTATTCGGGTGTGCTAGTATTTTGTTGAGGTCTCTACATCGGAGTTTAAGAACATCGGCCTGTGAATCTCCTTTCGCTGCTCTCTCTTTGGTATTGGCATAGGAATGATTTCCCAGAAGCGTTCAGAAGTTTCCGCTCTTTTGGATTCCTTTAAAAGACTCTGAGAAGAATTGGCACTATCTATTTACACGCTTGGCAGACTCCAATAGGAGCTCATTCGGCTGTAAACATGGCATGGAATACCGTCACGTTTCTCCTGAAACCTCTCCTGGGACCCACGGGCTGCTTACAAGAATGTTGCTTCATTTCAATATGTCTGTGAATAATCTTGTGTTATTCACTCCTGGTTTTATACTTCTCTAGTTGGGAAAGGCCCTCAGTCTGGGGGGGGGGAGGGGTTCTAATTATTTTTTTTAATTATAGGTTTAATTTAAATTTGTAATAAAATATTTATTTTCCCTCTTTTTTCTTTCTTTTTTAATTGTTTTTATTGAGCTATACATTTTTTTCCTGCTCTCCTTCCTTCCTTCCATCTCCTGTTCTAGCTTCCCTCTGCACCCACCCCCCATGCTTCCAATTTACCCAGGAGATCTTGTCTTTCTCTCTTTCCTAAGTGGATTCATGTATGTCTCTCTTAGGGTCCTTTTTGTTGTAGACTGTAGGCTGGTTATCCTTTGCTTTAGGTCTTTAAATCCGCTTCTGAGTGAGTACATACTATATTTATCATTCTGCGTCTGGGTTACCTTACTCAGTATGTTTTTTTTTTTCTAGTTTCGTCCATTTACTTGTCTATTTCAAGATGTCATTATTTTTTTTTACTGCTAAGTAGTATTCCATTGTGTAAATGTACCACATTTTCCTTATCCATTGTTTGGTTGAGGAGCATCTAGGTTGTTTCCAGATTCTGGTTATTACGAATAATGCTGCTACGAACAATAGTTGAGCACCTGTCCTTGTGGTATGATTGAGCATCCTTTGAGTATATGCCCAAAAGTGGTATTTCTGGGTCTTGAGGTATATCTATTCCTAATTTTCTGAGAAATTGTCATACTGATTTGCCAAGTGACTGGACAAATTTGTACTCCAACCAGCCTGTGGGGCTCGCCCAACATGCCTGGCTCACCCTCTCCCCTCAGTATAATTTTAATCTTAAATTCCTAGGGAATATTTTCTGTTCTGTTCAATTGAGAAAAACGTATATTCTAATGCTACTGGTTAGGTTCACATGGTATAAAGTGTGGTTCTAAGCCCATGTATCCTCGCTGATTTTGTCTGGATGATCTGTCTACTGCTGTGGAATTTACACCGTGTGGCTAGATGTTGCTGGGATGGTTTCATAAAGAAGCTGACTGGTCAATAGCTGAACAGGATAAGGTTACGCAGGACAGTCAGACTATGAGAACAGTGGGAGAAGGAAGGGTGGACTCTGGAGTCACGAGCCAGATAGAGAGTGAGTGAGACACACCAAATGGGATAGAGGTAAGAGCAATGAGCCTTGGAGCAGCACATAGATTAATAGAAATGGATTAAGTAGTCTTTCATTTAATAACAAGCCTGAGCTATTGATCGAGCATTAATAAGTAACCTTAAGTCTCCGTTTGGTTATTTGGGAGCAGGCGGTCAGGACACGAAAACCCTGCCTACAACCTACCACTGTGGGTGTTGTCCGTGGTCTCTACTGCATTGCACCTCCCTCCAGATCTGTCAATCATGGATGCTAAAGCTGATGGAGTCCTGAATATTTATAAAGTTTATCTTTCTGTAAAATTGATCTGTTTATCACTAATACCCTTCGACGTCTTTTAAAGTTTGTTTTTGTGGAGCTGGGGACCAACCCGAGTCTTGCACATGCTAGACACATTCTCTACCAGGAAGTCCTACCCTTGGCTCTGGTTTTATGGGTTTGACTGAAACTCTGTTTTATCTAAGACTGGCCAATGTGAAATTGTTACTGCATTCCTTTCCCCATATGCACTAAGGGGATTTTTGAATTTTTTTTTTTGATTTGTTTGAACTCTATAGCTCCTTTTTTCTCTACCATGAGCATTCTCCCCAAATCTCTACCTCAAATCCTGACCATCATGCAAAGCACCACTCTGGGATGATCTTGTTTTCTTCATCCATGATGTCTTACTCTATTTACTTAACAACAATTTCAACATTTTGCAAAATCAATTATATTTGAACGCATGAATGAGTGACAGTCAAAGTGCCGTCTCTAGATTTACCACACATTCTTGACAATGGCCAAGCAAGATGTAAGGTTCTGGTGCCAGCCTCTTCTGGGTTTGGCTGGGGGTGAGGGGAGCCCTCAGAAGTACAGCATGGGGGAGAGACTTCCTGCTCCGCCCGGGTCCTGCGCTGCCTATGTCCCTTCCCTTTCACAGGTGTTTGCCTTTTATCTTGACAGGAAGATACCACTTCCTGCTTCTTCCCTTTGTCTTTGTAGCATCACCCCTGAGAATCTCTTGAATATGTAATTCTACCCAAACACCTGCTGTTTAGAAAATCTTAGAGGATACATTGCTTTTATAGCGTTTTCTGCTTTGTGCCTTATTGTGAAGGCATAAATGTCTCATGCTCATTTATAATTTCCCAGGCATAGAGGCTGGCTTATAGATTCCTCAGCACAGGGTCTGGGCAACAGTCAATGTAATAGTCTCCAAATACCTAGTACAGTGCTGTGCACATGCTCAGTTTCCAAAGCAGTTTGTTAAATGAATAATAATGATAAACAATAGGCTTAGATACTTAATGTCAAGTCTAAGAAACACCTTTATATCTCTATATTAGTTGCAAAATACAATAATTCTGGCAAATCGGCTAAGTCAATAGGAGAAGCCAACCTCACAGAGAGCGGTGACTCACTGGGCTGGTTATATATCGTTTGCTTAGATAGCATCCCCTGATTGTCTCAGAGCACCCAGCAGTCTCACAGATTCATTAGAACAATGCCTAAAGTTACCACCTAGCTCTCTAGGGGGAACCATCCTGAGTGACTTACACAGATCATTCCATGTGAACTGCACAATGCCCTTGCTGGTAGATAGAATTACTTTCCCATTTCATAGAAATGGAAATGCCCAAGGTTATACATCTTCAAAGTTGGCAGTGCCAGAATTTGGCCATGCTCTAAACCTCGAGGCTATTCTAAAGCCACCCTGTCTGCCGAAGAATAATGAAGGTCAGTCATGTATAAGGCTTAGATGTCTGTGCTAATAAGAAGATCCTTTATACTAGAGCCCCAAGGAATGGTTATTTAAAGGCAGCTGATGGAAGAATGCGGTTCATGCACCAATGTTGTTCGATCTGACACTTTATAATAATAAAGAAGCTCTACACTTGGCATGCTTGGGTCAGCGGTACTGGTCCCATGTGGCTCTGAGCTTAATTGCAATTTAAGTAGTTATGTAGGGTTAGTGGCTTTTATATTGGTCAACATGATTCTAATTTCTTCTCCGATCTGACCATTTCCTCTCAAACTTGATCCATTTCTCTGGCGTGCAATTGAGTGTTTTGCTGTTGTTGTTGTGGTTGTTGGGGTTTGTTGTTGTTTGGGTGGTTGGTGTTGTTATTGTTTGTTTTTATTTTAAAGTTGAAGCTAATGAACCTGTTGCCCAGCCAAATCATGCTATGCAAATTTTGTGTGTCCAATCCAGTCATCAACTCAATGACATTCTCACTCAGAGAAACAAAGTTATAGATGATAGTTCTTATAGAAGAGACTGTTTTCTGAGGCCAGAGGATGGCTGGAGAGCTCTCATATGGTCTAAGCTTTGACAGTGCCATCACCTTCCCTGATCTGATGTTTTGAAAGGAGTAAGAGGCAAGAGAACCACAGAGGCACAAAATTCTCATTCTGAAAGCTAATGGCTGATTGAGGTTTTGATTCAAATAGCATTCACAAAAGTCTTCACATCAGACCAGCAAACAAGTTCTCACAAAGAAGACAATGAAGACTATATCCCCCATTGAAGAAAAAGAAAAAGATTACACATCTGTACCTGTTCAGAGGCTTTTTTGTTTGTCCCTCCCTTTACCAGCTCTGTGTCTGCATCATCGGGGTTAAGTTTCTCAATAGAACCATATTCATGAATTGCATCTGCTGACAACGATGGGCTCTGAGGGACCTGGTAAGTTGGAGGGTCTTCGGCAGTGTCTCTGAGCGGGGCTTCAGGGATACTGCACAGGTGGACGAGAAAGCACAAAGTGAGCACCAGGCCAGAGAAGAAGAACATGACCTGGAACTCGGTGCCCAGCAGCCTTCCCAGTTCCAGATGCATCCAGTCTATGGCACCCAAAAGGTAGCCAAGGGCGCCACCAAAACCTGGAAAGCAAAGGAAAGAGCGAGAGATGAGTTGCTATAGTCAGCTAATCACGCTGGTTTCCCACCATGCACAGGCCCTCCTCTTCTGGGGAAAAACTTCTTGAGGAGACCAGAGACAGCCTGGTAATTATGAAGAGACAATGTAGCAAGAAGCTAAGACATCTGTGGTGGAGTAGTTTGGGTTTAAGCCCCAGCTCTGGTGTTTACTTGCTGTGACCATGGTCTTGCTCATCAGTTTTGCACCAATAACTGAAGGTCATGATTTGAAAATGAGGGGTGCTCGGCACAGCACCAGATATACAGCAGGTGCTTGGTAAATTAACCACTACAGATACCATAGACCTGAAGTACCATGCTTAGCTACTCTGGGTCCCTTTAGATAACAAACTCTCCCATAGGGGGCACACAAGTGTGACATACAAGGCACCAGATATACCATTCAAAGATGTCTATTTATAAAACATGAGACTCAAAACAAGAATGCAGAATTTCACCTTATTTAAAGACACTATTCTTACTACATTCTATCTATTACTCAAATGGCAATGTGTGAACTTCCAGACTCAAGTATCTCCAACTCTGTAGAGGTCCTCCATGCAGATACTGGCTTTGGTATCACACATAAAATTCTGGTGTGGACAAATGCGCGCGCGTGTGTGTGTGGACTGCAACGATAATAAGCATCTCGATTGTATTTTATCTTTCTGTTAGGATACAAGGAATGCCAGGTGTGGAGAGTTAGCAGCTCAGAGCTTATCCTACCATCACTGAAGAAGAGCAGATGGCCTGGGGGAAGCTGAGCATCTGTGTCCGTGTTCTGAGGGAGCCTTGTACGGGGAGTGGCAGATGATTCAGTGGTGCCTGTTCAACCTGACCACTAGGATGTGGTGGGGCAGTGAGCACCCTCATAAATGCGGCTGGGGCAGATGTCGCTCAACCTAAGTGCTTCCCCTCCCACACCTTTGCTTTCTATACCACTAACGCGTGGATGCAACCTCTGAGGAAAGAAATGGAAACCATTCCAATCTGATTGAAGCCACGTTCCCCTGTCCTGTGGCAAGGCCCTTATTGTAGAAGCAACTGAACTGTTGGCCTTTGCAGATTCACAACCATTTTAGACATAAGTTTTCATCCAATGTCACCCTTTGCTGGATGATATCTATACCGCAGGCTAGAAAATTTTCAGCAAACCATTGTCAAAATCACAATGTTCTTATTCAACCAAATAAATTCTGATAGCGTGCCAACTGCATTTGCCCAAAATTGCGCATTCTCTGAGATCAGAATTTTTTTCACACTGGAAGTTTCTAATTTTTGCTAACGTGCCTAATACAATAATGGTTCATGTAAAAAACATCGACTGTAATTACCTCACCATTTTTCTAGAAATGAATTTCTCAGTTTCAGCACAGAAAATGGCTCACCAGCCTAGTTCAGAAACTTCCCATTTTCTGATTGGACTCATAAAATCTGACTTCTGTTTCTTTTCGTGACTAAGGATTAGAAATGAGTATATTTTCATCTCGTTAATTGATCTGGTTCTTGAGCCATTTGTCACTACCTACAATTAATTTTTCAAGTCTACAGAACTGATATTTATAACTCGTGTTTAGGTATCAACGGGGTGAAGTCCTTTGAAAAATGCACTAGCGCCATCTAGTGGCGACTAAGAAGAACGGAGTACAGATGTTAGAATGCTCTGAGGGGGAAACCCTTTTGAACCACGCTGCAAATCTCAGCCTAATTCCCTCTTGCTCCAGCAGCGGCTGTGGTGAGTTTTACAAAGCCAAGCAGGTGCATCTGGACCTCCCTTCACCTCAGGGAACCACACACATCTTGGAACAACCTTGGGTTAGTGGAGTGATTCTTCCATCCTTCATCCTCCGAAATAAAGAGTTCTGAGATACACTTTACAAGGCTTGTCAGGGCGCATGGAGAGATGGAAGGTAGAAGCCAACTCCATAATGCCTGGTCGGCATATTCAATAACAAGTCCCTCCTTCCCTATGGAATTAATTCCCAGATAAACTGTGTGTCCATATTCCCAGGTCTCAACTTGTACCGTAATCCAAATGAAAACAGACACCACATCTTCAGTTAGGTGTTGGCTTTTACCCCTCCCCAACACCCAGTCAGGTGGCTTGGGTTAGTCACTTTAACTCCCAACAACAAACACAACCATTGTGAAAACTGAGGATGTTAAAATAGAATATTCATCACACCAACAGTTTCTGAGGCCCTTCCATATTCTATGCACTGTTGAAAGCACTGGTCATAAAGCAATGAAAAGACAGTTCCTGCCGGTGGGGGATGAGGAAGCAAACAAAGAAACCACAAATGAATGAATGAATACTAAGAAATCACATGTGAGCATAGGATCTGGAAGGAGAACAAGGAGGCAAAGAGGGCTGTTGGTATCAAGGGGCATTGTGCTAAGTGGCAAAGCTCTCCCAGGGACATCGTGTTAAGTGACAAAGGCAAGCAGGAAAGTATACATAGTGGGTGGAAGCAGAAAGAGCTTGAGCACATAGAAGAAGAGCATAGAGGCACAGCACAGAGGCAGAACACAGAGGCACAGCACATAGGCACAGCACAGAGGCACAGAACAGGGACAGAACACAGAGGCACAGCACAGAGGCAGAACACAGAGGCACAGCACAGAGGCAGAACACAGGGGCACAGCACAGGGGCAGAACACAGAGGCACAGCACAGAGGCACAGCACAGAGGCACAGCACAGGGGCACAGCACAGAGGCAGAGCACAGGGGCACAGCACAGAGGCACAGCACAGAGGCACAGCACAGGGGCACAGCACAGAGGCAGAGCACAGGGGCACAGCACAGAGGCACAGCATAGAGGCACAGCACAGAGGCACAGCACAGAGGCACAGCACAGGGGCACAGCACAGAGGCACAGCATAGAGGCACAGCACAGAGGCACAGCACAGAGGCACAGCACAGGGGCACAGCACAGAGGCACAGCACAGAGGCACAGCACAGAGGCACAGCACAGAGGCACAGCACAGGGGCACAGCACAGAGGCACAGCACAGGGACAGAACACAGAGGCACAGCACAGGGACAGAACACAGAGGCACAGCACAGAGGTAGAACATAGAAGAGTAGTCAGTTCACGGAAGCAACAACGCTGAAAGGGGCAAGAATGGTGATGGCCCTGACTGCTGTGCACTGTACACAGGCATTGACGACATTATCACACCGAACCCTGTAAATAGAGATGGCACGTGCTGAGTTTGAAACTAAGCTAATTAAAGCGAGGTGGGGGGATGTCTATAGTTTCCACGCTGGCTGTGTCTCTGCCAGGGTGCCGGAGGAAGATGTGACAGTCCCCCACAGGCACGAACTTCAAAAGCAATCCAGTTGATGAAACAAAACCACTCATCCCACAATTATTCACGAGTGAGAAAAAGTGAAGATAGCCCAAACATGAAAGACAGTTCTTCAAAAAGAAAGAAAGAAAGACAGTTCTTCCAAACCAAATCAAAAGTTTGTTTAAACGGGGCTCTATCTGAAATTTATTTTTAGCTCTCCTCTTGGTCTTTTATTTTCTAAGCAGAGCATCTTATTTTTACATGTTAGTATTTTGTGCCCACTTTGAAGTACTTTTTTGAAGTTAGGAGAAGCCAAGCCCACTGAGTTCTTTCCTTTTCTTCTGCAGGAATACACAGGGTCAGTTTCTCCTTCACATTCATTCCTTTACAAATACGACTTTTTCAGACGGGAGCATAGAGAAGCCAAGTGAGCAACAGCTCTGGCCTTCAATCCTGGGCACGTCTCTTTATTCTGTGCATGGGTCCTTTTGCCAGTTTGTTTGCAACTAACATCATAGGCTCACAGGCTTGGGGACAGGGGACACAAAGTTCAGACCTCCTGAGCCAGCACTGTTGCAAAGGGGAGGCAGGGTTTCCCAGCCTGCTAGCTGCGAGTTTGCCACCCACAGATAGATCTCACTGCCCAGAACAGCACAGTCTGCAATTCAATTTAGCACAGATACACTGGGTTAGGAACTCTCAACACAAAGCCACTTTCTCCCACTAAGCATGGGTTTAGTGGCTCACTGGGCTGATCTCCACAGTGACTGGTGTGCATGCGGAGAGGCTGAAAGTTTGTCCACCAAACCCATCACAGCTCCTGCTGAGCCGGGGCCGGAGAGATGATGGCTACTTTCTAGTGGAAGAGACAAAAGGCCAAATAAAATAGCTTTCTAGGGGACAGTAGATAAACTCCTCTAACATATCCCCCCACATTCACATACTCACGCATACACGCACGTACGCACATATGCGTGCACACACACTGTGTGTGCCGGCTTACACACGCAGAACAAGGAATGCTGCATTTTACGAATCGCCCAGCTGTCGGAGGAGCTTGATCCTGCTCTTCTCTCGAGGAATGGACTTGCTAGAAGCTAGCCACACACAGTGACCTCCCACAGGCCCTGGAGACACTGACTGACATCTACAGCTTGGTGCTTACCATGAGACCAAACAAAGAAAGACCTAGAAATCAGATGTTTCATAAGTACAGTTAGGTCTATATTTTTTAACTATTGAATTTCTTCTCTTTGGTAAAATATGCCCTTTCTTCTGTGGTGATGGATCCCAGTTTGCTCCAGGGAAGTAAGTGCCACTGTCCCTAAAAATTAAAAGCTAAGCAAACCTTCACTTTTTAACTTCAAGTGCCTAGTAAATGATCTAATTGTGCTCAGTGAGAAACAATAAATGTCTGGGGGAGTAGAAAGCTCTTGCTTTCCTCGTTTAAACAGATGATACAGGTTCTTTCCCCAGCTTCCTCTCTGCCTCTGCTCTCCATTCCTCCTGTCTAGAGACAAACATGATGGCACTATAGCAATCATCCCGTATCCAAGAGTAACCAATGAAAGTTCAGTTGGTGCTGATGTGGACAACTGACCAAAAGCCACCATGTATTCACTCCCGGGCTTCTTGTTATTTTTTTTTTAAAAAAGTACACCAATACAGGCATTTAAGCGACTGTTGTGTGAACATTGTTAAGATCAAGTCCTTCCCTAAATGATGCGTTCCTTGAACACCTGCCACGAGAGGGTGGGAGGCATCAGTAAAGCACAGTGACTCCAGCAGGACTGGAAGTGGCTCACTCATCTGCACAGAAGGCTGATAGCTCTGCTACATCTTCCTCACCTTCTTGCTCATTAACACACACTTCTTCTGTGAATAGTTCCTTCTTTGGCAAAATGCGTGGTATTACTGGGGTGACTAGAAATGTCCTAAAAATAGGAGATAAAACAATACCAAAGGCCATGAGGATTATATGAAAATCTCCCGTTGAGGACAGCCTGGTCTTTTAAACTTAGAAGCACTGGATTGTTTCCTCACAGGTGGACCCAACTTTCCCTTGTCACCCACTGCTCCCCCACCAGAACCAGGGGCTGCGGGTACTTTAGGAGACTTTAAAAGAAGCATCCAGCATCCTGTGGAAGGACCTGAGACCTGCTGGAATGAGACCTAGTAGTCGTGGTCTTTAGACCACGAGAATAAAAATGTAGGACATTAAAAACAAATCTCTTTATAAAGAACTTTTGTGCTCTTATGGTTATTCAAAAAAAGAGAATATCTCCAGTATGCTGAAAAGGACAATGAAAGGGATTGGGGGAGGGAGCAAGAAAAACGGGTACGCTCAGTCAATATGCCATCTGTTCTTAGAAGGGGAGCTGAGCTCAGGGTCAACGGCCACTGTATGGCCTAGAGTGCACCTGTTCTCACATTCATGCCCTGACATCCTAAACCCTAGTGTGACTGTGTTTGCATGGGGTCTTTAAGAGGTGCTCACAGTTAAATGAGACTTGGAGTCACCCTAGTCTAGCAGACTGATTTTCCTGTATAAGAAACACCCCTGGGGGTAGTGAGAGTGAGGTGGGAGGAACCTGAACAGCAGCGAGGTCACCTGAGGACTCAAGAAGACGGATGTCTGCAAGCCAGGAAGAGGCTTTGGCAGAACCCACCTCCGCAGACATGACCTTAGATGGCAGCCTCTATAAAACTGAGGATAGCCTTCCTGCTGTTCAAGCCACTCAGGCAGCAGTCCTGGGGCACAGCAGTCAGGCTGACCAGAGAACCCCCGGGGTGCTGCACTGAAGGATGAATGCTGAACTTCAGCCCGTCTCTCCACACTGGAGACAGCCACCAGATCCCCTGTGTATCCACTCGATAAACTCTGTGTTTTGATTATTTTCTGGATAAAAAAATCAATCAGATATTAAGTCTAATTGCAATTTAGAAGAGAGGAAGAGGTGGGAATTCCAGACCATTTTTGATTTCTAAAAAGATTTTCTGAGAGCCAAGACCTTGAACCCAGAGAAGAAAAGAGAGAGGGCCTGGGAGGAGTTGGGGGAAGGAAATAAATATGACCAAAATATATTGTTTGAAATTCTCAAAGAATACATAAAGGCATTATTAAAATAAAAAACGAAGAATTTTTTTTGAGCATTGGCAATTTGACTGCTGATGGCCAAAGAGCCCGGGGAAGTGTAAATGAAACAGACTTGATGTCTGTGCTGGAAACATGCTGAGAATTATTCAGGGCACAGAGAATATGGAGGGGCCCATAAGACATAAAGCTAGAGGTGCAGAATGAAAATAGCATGTGGGCTCGGTGGCGGGGTAGGGGGGGATGACTTAGCTAAGAGTGCCTGTGGCTCTTAACAACAAAGGAAAAATTTGATGGGATCAGACATCCAGGTGAGAGAGTGAGGATGCTGCGCAATAGAAGGAAAGATGAGGCAGGAGTTTTCCCAAACTCCAGCTGTGTTCTGCAGCATTTAGACCTCCAGAGGCATGGAGGTCAGGCGCCACTGACACACAGGACTGCACCTCTGGCCTTGCACCTTCACCCAGTGTGGCAGGAACAGCTGACTGGACTGGGGCCGCCTCACCCCTTCATAGATTCACTACTCAAATATTTGCCAAAACAACAAAACTAGACTTCAAGGATTCCACATGCAGGAACTAGTCTTGGCTCTGGAGGTAGGACCCTACATGGCCAGGGAAGGAGACAGGGTGCTTTAAAAATTAACGTGCATTCAGCTTGACTATGAAGACAGTATATTTAATAAAGCAGCCTGATAGAGTCTCCCTGCTGGATATAAAAATCCCCCGGGCTCAGGGTCCTGCCTTCACTTGACAGGCTAACAGGGACTAGATCAAGGATGCCTGGTGTGCTACCAAGAACTGCTTGGGAAATGGCATAGTGGCAATGGAAGGAGGCCGGCAACAGCCCCCTAGGAATGGCGAGAGCCCTCCCTGCCCAACCAACACAGACATTTAAAGTGAGCAGGTTGATTTCTTTATATAATTAAGAATTCTTGAAGATGGTGAGGGCTCACTTGCTTTCTCAATTCTAGTTTGAGATTTCAATGTATTTCTTAAGACACCCGCCACACTCTCTGGGGTTCTTATTCAAATCAAAGGCAAATTCCTGAGCCACACCTGGAATTCACTGAATCAGCATAACTGGAGAAAGAACCCAGAAACCTACAGTTTCAACACATCCCTAGGCAAGGCTGCTGCAGCATGATGGACGCCTGAGGCTCTCTGTTTTAAAGAGAGGGGTCAGTGCACAGGGCTCCTTTTCACGTCCACTGCACGTTGTTTCCACAGCATTCTGAAGAAACCTCTTGCGTGAACATCCTTTTCAAGAACTCTGAAGCCCCAGGCATGAGCTTACTTTGTTCAGGGAAACCAATGGAGACAGGGCAGAGCGCGTGATAGGTGCTTCCTGTCAACTGATCCATTCATTCAAAAGACGCCAAGTGCAGAGACTCTGGCTGCCTTCCATTGAAGTTTCTCCCCATCTGTGAAGCCGAAGGAGAAACTTTCCGGAATAGTCCCTACCTGTGAAGAGGGCGTGGTAGTGGAGACCCTTCTCCTTGTCCTTGTGGGAGCAGACGTCGAACAAGTAGGCTTTGATAGGCCCGTCAATGAAGTCAGCCGAAAAATCGAAGAGAACCACACCTGTCATGGTGATGCTCACGGCCCAAACCAGCTTCCTCCTTGGGTTAGCGACCAAAGCTAAAACAGAAACAAACATTGGTCTTCTACAGTGTGTCTATAACAACCCATATATTTTTATTTCACTTAAACTGCTGTCAAGCCATCCCTTTTCGGTTGCGTAGTTTTATTTTTACATCTAAAAATGACTTTTTTTTTCATGTTTAAAAAAGTATGCAACTGGATGCCCAGGAAAGACAGATCTATGGACAGGAAGTAAATTGGTGATTGCCTGGTACCTGGTGCCTGGGAGAAAAAAAGGGAGTGACTGCCAGTGGGGAGTGGCTTTCTTTGGGGAGGGACATGAAACTATCCCGTATGGGCATAGGGGTGATGGTTGCTCAATCTCATGACTATTCTAAAAAGCTCTGGGTTATATACTTTGTCTGAATACTCTGGGATTTTAATGACACCTCTTTACATCAAAAAATAATAACGATATGAAATAACCCAAAGAAAATCTCTTAAATCCTAGGTCCAGTAACAGCTTCGATATGGGGCTTCCCTTTTTGCACGTGTAGACATGCAGTTCTACAGAGGGGCCAAACACAGGACTTCTCAGACCCCGGAGAGCCTGACTGCCATCGGAACCACTTTGTCGAAGCACAGATTGCTGGCACCATTTCCCAAGGCTCTGCTGATTGGGCAGGTGTAAGGGGACGAGTATGACAGCCGTAACTCTACAGCCCCTTGATACGCAATTTTGGGCAACCCAGGCAAATGAGATCATGGAATATAAACATGTCTATTCTCAACCAACTCCCTGATCCTTCCATATTTAGAAAGCCACTGTATGCTTTTAGCACTTGAGTAGAGTCCGTTCCACAAGCTCTACTCATCCTTCAGATCTGCCGAGAGCCATACACTGTTGTGTCCTTTGCTTATGGTTTGTTAAGCTAAAGACAGTGTGCAGTATGGAAATGTATTTGAAACATTCCAGTAGAAAGGTAAGTGAAAATGAATCGACCCTCTGTTTCTTACCTCAAATTTCCTAGTTATAACCTACGTTTCCTTATCTATACATCCTTCTAAATCAGTGGTTCACAACCTGTGGGTCGCGACTCCTTTGGGGGGGGGGTCACATATCAGATATCCTGCATATCAGATATTTACAATTCATAACCATAGCAAAATTACAGTTACTGAAATAGCAAGAAATAATTGTATGGTTGCGGTTCACCCCAACATGAGGAAATGTATTTAAGGATCACAGCATTAGGAAGGTTGGGAACCACTGTTATAAATATATACAAATATTGCCTACTTATCTTGTATCATAATCACTTATTCTACTGGCATACATGGTCTAAAACTATGTGCTTCCTCATGATTTCATTTTCAATGTGCTACCAACGAGTACTTAGGAATTGGTAGCTGGTTTCTAACTAGAAACAATGCTTTACACCAATTTTTTTTCTTTTCAGAATTCACAATACAAAGATGTCTTAAGAGCTGGCAGGTCTGTGCTCTGTTCCAATTAAAATGTCATAGACCCAGAATCAACTCATATTTGTATACAGCAGAAGGTGCTTTGTTACAAATGCTCAGAGCTGGACAATTTGACAAAGTATTCTATGAGACACGATATGCTACAAAGTCCTTCAACTGAAAAAAAAAGCAAGAATATTTAGTTTGGACAAATGGATAAACTTTCAATCCATTTGAAAACCTTATAATAATAAAAAACATTGTTGTAATGTTTCTAGAAGTAAAGGCTCCTCAGCCACAGGTTTGGAAATCATTCTACTGTAGAAGGAAGTTTACCCTATGCTAGGAGAGACCACTGATTGTAACCAGTTTCTGGCAGGCACTAAAAAGTATTTTAACTTAATACTTAACTATTCGGCCCGTGCCCACCACTTACCTGATACAACAGCATCTCCATTGAGGTACAGGGCCATCCCCAAGAGCATCATGATGGCCAGTGTCAGAATGTAGGGTCTCCGGCGGCCCCACCTGGCCCTACAGTGATCACTGATGGATCCCACCACAGGCTGCAGAAGGAATCCCAAGATGGGGCTGAGGAGCCACACCATGCTGTACAAACTCTTAGGCAGGCCCACGCTGAGCAGAACCGGAGTCACGTAAGCGGCCTCCACAGCGTAGCAAAACTCTCGGCCAAACATGGCCATGCTGTGCATGATGAGCCTCCCTGTGGATCTCTTGGGTTGCTCCACAGATCCAAACGGGCAGTCCTCCGAGAGGGATTGATAGGTGTGGGTGTCAGTCTGTCCATGGCTGCCACTCATGACCGCAGAGGTAATAACTTTCCTGCGTGCTCCTCAGGTTTGGACTCCAAACCGGCTCTGACATGGAGCCTGTCTGAGCAGAGATGGGCAGGCTGGAGGAGGGGCCGGAATTCTTTCATTCCTCCAAGATCACAAGTTATGATGAGAAGCAAAGGGGGTGCTGGCACTTGGAAGCGTGACAAAGATTAGCTGTTGCGAGCCCTCTGGCTCCTTAGAATGCTGGTGTTTGTCTAAAGTCTCTCTCTCTCTCTCTCTCTCTCTCTCTCTCTCTCTCTCTCTCACACACACACACACACACACACACAATTGTACACATTGATTCCATTTTCAAATCATAAAGGCTCCTAAACAGAAACTAACAAAATGTAAATAAATGTAATAATTTCTATAAACTTCTTTCTATCGAGCTGGATATTCTTTTTCCCTGAATTCACATTTTCTACACACAGCTTAAAAGATAAATTAACTAGACTTAAAATGGTGGGTGGGGGTGTCACCCTTCACCCAACTCATTGTCACCTAAGTCCCTGAACGGTTTTCTCACTGCCCTCAGTACATTTTCAAATGAGATAATTCAGACAGTTTGTTATATCCTTTGTTATTTCCTTAATATATCCTTTGATTAGCCTTGATCTCCAGGACAGAGATCAGGTTGATTTATGGTATCCCCAGCATGTAGCCTGGCACTTCTTAGGTCTCCCAAAATATTTGCTAATAAATACAATGAATTTGGATGAACAGAGTATAATAAGTCCGTTTTGTCCCCTTCACTGCCTACTTTGCTTAGATCTTGGGACTACATTTCCCAGGTTCCTTTGTTCTTTGGCTTCTGGGTATATTTGCCCAACAGCAAGCTTTGGTGAAAAGCTAGGGAGGAAGGGAAAACATGTATAATCCAGTTTTCTTCATACCAAGGTATTTTTGGCACTGACTGTACACCCACCGTGAGTCTACCTTCTAACAGCCACACTGGACTGCTGGATTTCCTTAACTCCCCAAAGCCATTGTTCCATGTGACCCTGGCTCCTTGATTCTGCTCATATTGGGATGGCCTCACTATCTCTGTTCTTTATCGCCAATGTAATCCTCTAATTAAATTTACTGTTTTAAAGACTGACTTCAAGTAGGTCACATTTTCCTTACTGGACCCTAATAAAGATCCTTGGTAGGAAAAGTATCTTAGAAGTCCCTGATCTCCAGAAAAAGGGAAGCACACATCACTAACAGGCTACTAACATTACTTATATACATTTATTCTTTAAATTCACAACCTACCAAAAACAACGTCCCTTTCACTTTGTGTAATCCCCTAAACTCAGAAATCAGCGTCAAAGCCAGCTCCTCTGATTAGCCACAGATCTTAACCAATTTGCATTTATCTTTTCCCTAACCACTCCACTGAACAGATTTTTTTTTCTGAGAACATATGATAACAATAACAATGGTTTTAAAAAGACTTGCTTGGTTTATATCTCTTAGAACAATGCCACTTGTAATGGTCAGTCCATCTTTTTATGTATGTGGGTATTTTTCCTTCATGTCTGCCTGTGCACTACATGCATGCCTGGTAATGATGGAAGCCAAAAGAGAGTGGTGGAGCCTCTTGACTTCAACCCTGTTGAGGGCTGCCATGTGGGTGCCGGTTCCTCTGAGCCATCTCTCCACCCCAGCAATTGCTAATCTTGATTGCCAACAGGACTGAGTTTAGAAGTCCCCAGGAGACTAGTGAAGCATATTTCTGGGTGTGCTGGTGAGGACATTTGCATACGGGATTAGATCATGAGGACTTTCACCTGAATGGTTTAACCCCCTGGTGGACTGATAATATCGATAGCCTCTTGGTAGGCAGTGGAGCTGTGGGAATGGAGCCTCATTGGAGATGTTTGGTTGCTGGTGTAGGAAGGCCTCCTTGGGGGGGGGGGGGGTTACTTCATGCCTTGGCCCCTCCTATTGTCGCTCCATCTGCCCCTGCATACCATAATCCTTGCCTTGCCTTGATGGTCTGAAACTTAGCAAAAGTAAACCTTCTCCGGTATTACCTGTCTCAAGTATTGTGGTCACAATAGTAAGCAAAAGCATCAGAAATTAAGCAAGGTGAAGCCTTTGAGTTGTACATTACATACAACTGCTTGGATGCTTTATAGAAATGCAAATGTGTAGGTATCACCCTTGGCCCACCGTATCAACTTTCTGGGAGCAGGGCTCAGATTCTGTGTTGGCAGATTCCATAAATGGTGTCTTTGAATTAGATAAAAATACTACAGTCATTACCCCAGGCGATCATGGCTTAGTGAACAACTTGTAAGCCATAATAAAAAGTAATTTCTATGCTTGGACACATAAACAGAGTACATTGGGAACAGAGCAAGGGCCCTAACAGAAAGAATGAACAACTTCTGAGCTTTTACAATATGTCAAGTACTTCCAAAGTATTGAATCAGACATCACATGGGAGAGTAAAATTTGAGCACATGACCTTTCTGACATTATAGCTCACATTCACTGTGCAAAACCATCCTAGGGTTGAGAAGGGAGGAAGTTGGACAAAGAAGGCTGCATTTGAGTTAACATGGCTTTGCTGACCAAGCGGCAGGAACAAAAGGTGTATTGTTTGTCCCAGAAAATGATGCAGCGCACGGAAGCAAGAGATACCACAACATGCAGACATTTGAGTTGGTCCAGATGGCTGGAGAGCAGGAGCTGAGGATGGGATTGGTGATCTAGGCAGCTTTTGTTGTTGATTACTGTTATTCCTGCTATTAAGATTCTATTTTACCCCATAGGAGAAAAATGCACTATTGCAAAATTTTGCATGCCTAAAAGGCTAGTCTTGCATCAATTACCAATACGGTGATATGACAGAAATAAGAGGGAAGTGGTGGTATCAGAAGTGGAGACAAATAGACAAACAGCAGTCACCTGTTGGGAGGGAGTTCTGTTGAGGTGGGGGTTGGAGGGGCGAATGAGGGGTAGATATGCTCAAGATACACTGTTTATGCAAATGAAAATTTCAAAGGATAAATACATTTTTTTTTAAGAAAAAGAGCATTTTAAAGGAGTTGGGACGCCATTAAGTGATGGAGGGGGTGTTAAGCCGCTATAGAAATGTGAACTCTAGCACTGAGCAAGGAAAACCACGACGCTCTGACCCAAGACCAAGGCTGACAAAGCCATGAGCATCTTTTGAAGTTGTAATAGAGATGTCCAAAGATGAGGTGCCCACTTTGCTCCTGAAGTTTATCTTAGTCATGGCTCTCACTGAGGGGCAGGTCAGCGTTAGGATGTCTTCTTTGCACTGATTGGTCTCCATGTTGTCTGTGGAATACCTCCTGACTTGCCTGCTTAATTAAAGCTGCTTATTGTGATTTTCGAGAGGATAAGCAGAAGGACTTCTGGGGCAGACAGAGACATGATCAGTTCAGAGGCAGACACTGGTGGGAGGAGCTTAGCAGACTTTCATTGGATACAGGGCAGTTAATTGCCAGGTGATGGAGAAGGCCACCCGGCTACCCCCACACAGCCCAGCATCCAGCACACTGATCTGAAGCAGGGTTTTATGAAGAAAACTTAAGACCATTTGCTAACATCTGAGTTCAAAGACAAGGAGGGAATGAAAAGCCTATTAAGGGGTATGCGTTTTTTTAACAATAGTATCCCAATATTTCAATGCGCCAGAAAATTCTATTTAATGACATTTAAAGGGCTTCCTAGAATGCTTTTACAACTTAAAAACACTGTTCACATCCAGGTGAAAAAAAAAGCGTTATTTATTAAAATTATATTAATCCATTTAAAATATACCAGTTATATTTCTATAAGAGCATTAATACCAGTGAATCATGTTATCAAGTAAATTGAAAGGCAGAAAAGCCATGACAAATTAATATTGGTACACACACAAAAATATTCCTCAATCAGAGGCTCTGGAGCGTGGCTTCAGAATGCAATCATTACTCTGTAATCAGCCTTCAGCTGTGTCTTGATTGGAATACTCAGATCACTTCATTGCTATTCATCCGCATTTCCACGCACACCATGGGTGTCATTCTCCAGTGTAACAGCGTTCAGATTCCCTGGAGCCATGCAAGTCAGAGGCGGGCTTTGGGCTTTGTATTCCCAATGACTCCATCTGAGCACAGCTGCTTGATCTCATCTGGATGGAACCCAAACTCTCTAAGAACCTCTTCGGTGTGCTCTCCTACGAAAGAGTCCCTTTTGGCAGAAGGGATGCCTGGGGTTCTGCAGAGCAGAGGTGCAGGGCGGGGGCTTGTGTGCTGTTCCTCGTCCGTGACAAATGAGGCGCGCTCCCTGTTGTGACTGTGGTGGACGGCCTCCTTAACTGACAGCACCGGGGTCACACAGGCGTCTGTCCCGTCAAAGATCTGGCACCACTCGGCCCTGGTCTTCTTTGCAAACACATCTGCAAATTTCTTCTTCATTTCTGGCCAATCAGCCATGCTCATCTGGTGGGGGAGTTCATCAGACTGGAGTCCAAGTCCTGAAGGGAAATGCAATGTCTTAGGTTATTAGGCTCTGGGCGCAGCAATAATCAGCGAAGAGTCCACCATGACAACCTAAATCAGAGTTTCTCAAAGGACTGGCAAGGAAAAAACTAACCAGTTTGAAGCTGGAGCCAATGGCTACAGTAGGCAGGGATGGGAGCAGTGACAGCTCAAAACAAGCCCGTCATTGTCAAGAGTTTTTACTGACAATTTCAGAAAGGGAGTCTGTTTTCAATGATCTAGTTTCCAGAAATTGACATCTTTCCTGAGTAGATTTTTTTTTTAAAGAAATTTCCTCAGGATAGCTTTATCTGTCTAGTTGAATTAAGGTAACGCGATACTTTATATAAAAATACAATTTTAAATATTATACCTGACTATCACTGCTAACAAGAAAATAGGCTCAGGATAAGTGGTAAGCACAGGGCTGGGCTGTAGCTTTGTAAGTAATATTCCTTTCTCTTCACCTTAAACTAAAAGCTCAAAGGTTTTTAAGGT